GAGAATTATGAAGACATTTCACTGGAACTTGGTCTTCATTACTATTTCCTGCTTCTATGTTGTATTTTACTTCAAGTATTTATTCATGATCAATGTCATTTGCCATTTATGACTTAGAACACTGTTGTTAGAGCACTGTCATTTTCACATCAATAAAAATAAAAGTACCTACAAGATATTATAAGACTAATAATACTAATATTAATGAAAATAAATGGAATTAAAAAGTTATATAACACTATAAATGTCCTGCAGTATACAGTATAGCACTTTCAAAGCATGGTTCTTTATGGAACATTATAAGAAGGGTTCTGCTATTGTTACAAACCAAAGAACTCTAATTTGGTACTGTTAGAACCATTTTTTTAAAGTCTTTAAAGCATAATTGACTGCAAATAAATAATTCAGAATTTTTAAATTATCTCATTCTGAAACATTTCATAAGTTTCTGTGAAGAGATGGCATAAAGAAAAGGATTCAGACAGCAGTTCAGCAAAGCCAGAGTCTTGCTTGTATCACCATATACTCGGCGGAAGGACTTCAGTTGGGAATGAACATCTGGATGAGATGTTTTAGTCAGAGTAGTGACTATATCAATCACATTGATAATGTGCACAGGAGTCCAAAACAGAAAGAAAGCCACAACGATGCTGATCACAAGCCTCTTCTTGTAAGTCCTAACATTTGTCCCCTGCTTTCTGGGTTCCTGGTCCTGTGGAGCTCTAGTTAGACTGGAGCTCTTGGTTTTTTGTTTCAACCCTTTGTCCAACCAGAGATAACATGTCAACGTTATACAAAATGGAATGATAAACCCCAACAGGATCTCAAAAAGCAAAACAGTCACTTCTACAGACTGTGATTTCATTGTCCTCTGACATCTTAGCAATCCATTCTCGTCTTTGAGTCCTTGAGTAAAAAATACTGGTAGGGCAAAAGCAAAAGCTAGAATCCAGATGCCAATCAGCTGAAGGCACCTGTGCCGTCTTTCCAGTCTCTGCAGTATCATCCTGTTAGTGACTCTCGACTTGATGACATTGTGATAGCGGTGCACGCTCATGGATGTGACAGTCAGAACAGCAACATACAGACTCCAGTGACCCAAAAAAAACAGGAACTTACAAGACCAAAGGCCGAATTCCTATTCAAACAGTATTCCATACAGCACGAACGGAGCCAAGCAAGGGGTCAAAGCATCAGAGTCTGCAATGTTTAGATTTAGTTTTAAGGTGAAGCTCAGATTTCTGTTCCACTCACGAGCAATGCTGATGATTACTGCAATGTTGCTTGGCAAACCAACCAAACAGCACAAACCCAGAACTACAGCAGGAGCGATCTTCTCTGAACCCACAGCAGTGCTGTTAGATGTTGAATTGAAGCCTGCGTTGCTCTCCATCATGATCAAAATATTTTGAATCTCTAATAGAAATAGTTCTAATCTCTAATAGTTCCTGGAAATTGCCCCTCCCACAAAACAACATATGCTAAATGGCATGCTCACCAATAGGAGGAAACACAAAACAAATGGAACCACATTTCGACCACATTTCGTTGCCACAAGCACAGGTTTTAGTAGCATTTTCATTTATAATTAATTAGCAACATGACACAGTATATCATTATATGATAAAAGATCAGTAGTTAGTTGTCATGGCAATTTTCTTTTTTAATAAAGGCATGAAACAAAAAGTCTTTTGAAGATTTATTTTCTTGCAAGAAAATGGTCAACAGATACAGAGTGTGACCAAGAAAAATACGTTGACTCAGCATTTATACCCTAATAAAATCCAGATGCTTCTATTTAATCCAATCATAACACATGTTCACTTATGTGCCAATTTAAGGTATCTAACTATGTCCCCTGGATGCATTTTTACGTATTTAATGCAAATCATTTCATCATTAGAAGCGAGCATGTAGGAGCTCTAAAATAACACTTCTCACTCTCAGCTACTCTCACACATACATTTCCTGTTGGTCTTTTAACACTTTTTGCTCTGTTGCAAAATGAAAATAAATCGAAAGTGATTAAGAAGATTAAGCGAGTGCGGATCCCTTACTAGAATATGATGGTCTTTTAGAACATCAAAATACCTCAATTATACTGATGAAGCATTTACACAATTTAAAGAAAACTCTTTAGAAGAGTAAAGCAAATAATACCATAATAAAATTTCCCTCACATTAGTGTACAAACAAATATGAAAATGTAATGATAATAAATTTAAATGTACATTCAGTAATGATCTGTTTAGGATTATAATTTAAAATAATGTTATATTAAGTTATATTCAAGTGTGACCAGTGTTTTTATAACACCCCTGCAAATACTCATAAATTTAAAAAGAAAACATATAGTAATTTAGCAGGTGAAAAAAGACCTATAGAAAACACACACACACACACACAAATAAATGAATAAATAAATAAAGACCAAACAAATAATGAAAAAGGAATTGTTCACCCAAAATTGAAAAATTTACAGGCCATCCAAAATGTTAATGAGTTTGTTTCTTCATCGGAACAGATTTGGAGAAATTTAGCATTATATCACTTGCTCAGCAATGCATCCTCTGCAGTGAATGGGTGCCGTCAGAATGAGAGTCTAAACAACAGATAAAAACGTCACAATAATCCACACTACTCCAGTCTGTCAATTAACATCTTGTGAAGTGAAAAGCTGTGTGTTTGCAAGAAACAAATCCATCACTTAAGTATTTAACTCTTAAATTGCTGCTTTTGGCCAAGTTATTGTGATGTTTTTATCAGCTGTTTAAACTTGTCACTCTGACGGCACCCATTCACTGCAGAGGATCTATTGGTGAGCAAGTGATGTAATGCTAAACTTCTCCAGATCTGTTCTGATGAAGAAACAAACTCATCTACACTTTGGATAACCTGGGGGCAGTGGGGTAATGTAACGAAGTAACAATACTTCGTTGCAGTACTTAAGTATTTTTTGGGAGTATCTGTACTTTACTTGAGTTTTTATATTTCTGCCAACTTTCACTTTTACTCCACTACATTTGCTAATTAAAATGTATATTTTACTCCGATACATTTCCCCGAAGCATATTCGTTACTTACTACAAAATAAAGTAGGATGAAGAACACAGACTGCACACTTAAAAAAAAACTGCCGAGTAATGGCTTGGAAAGTTATAGAGTATATGAAGCATTTATGAAAATATTTAAGAAAGGTGCATCTGTTTAAGAGGATTTAGAAGCCAATTTGTTATTATTGGTCCCTTTCCTTCATTTTTTAATTTTTTTCTCTCAGCTTAGTCTTTCTTCCTGTTCCATCAATGATCCACACTCCAGCTCAGTAGGTGGCGGGAATGCACCTTTTAGTTTGTTTGCCCACCGTCATAAAAAGCCAGAAGAAGAAGAAGAAGAAGAATACAGTCGGTGCGTTCCAAACGGGATATATCGCCCTCCGAAGGGCACTTCGGAGTGAAAACAATCATGGCTGCCATATTGAAGGGTCATTACAAACCGAAGTGCTCAAAACTGGTCACTTCAAAGGGCCCTTCGGAATGAAGGATTGTCCCCTTGTCCAAATACCCACACTTGCGGTCTTGGCCACTTGACAGCGCATACTTGTTACTTGACAAGTAAGTGCGCAAGACTGTCCCAGGTTGTAAAAACGCCAAAGCGCAGTGCCCTTAAAGCACACTAAGGCCCTGTCCCAAATGGCACCCTAAACCCTCACGGTCTTCCTCTGAGTCTGCACTTTCGTGACGTAATGCCGCTTTGACTGTGGGGTAGAAGTCTGCTGTGGAGCTCGCCCCAGTGTGGGCTCGGCAGAAGTGCGAATCGAGGGCGCATAGCGGCCGCAAAGGGGGCGCTCGTGAGCACCCTTCTGAAAGCTGAAATGACGAATGGGACACCCTGCGGTCTCGTGGACTTAACGGACACGTGCACGCGGCGGCCATTGTAAGTCCTCAATACCGAAAGTGCACATGAAGTGTTCCATTTGGGACAGGGCCTAAAGGTGCATTCACTCCATATTGGAATTCCCGTAATTACGAGATTCCAACTTGTAAAAAGCGTTCACGTCCGTAGAACTCGTAATTACAACTTGTGCACTGGGAGTTTTCTGAGAGCTACGACTTGTACCACGTGACCACTGTACCACCTGACCACCGCAGGCTCTGTTTAGGCGTTGATAGTGTTGCCATAGAAAAGCATAATTCAGAGTCCGAGGACGTGAACAGCTCCGAGTAGAACGTCACGTGCTGTCATCTCGAAATTACAGTAATTACGATATGGCGTGAACGCAGCATAAATCCACACTATCTCGAGGGTATCCCATCATGCATCATGTTCTGGAAATAAATCGTGAGACTTTTTGCCAAGATCGCGCGAGAGGTCAAGGAAACCTTTCAAATGTAAGTTAAATATGATTAATAATAAGATATTACATATAATTTGGTACTAAAAACAAAGTGCTACACGTTTTATTGCTGCAAAGATTAGTATATTTATTTTGTACAACATTTGCAACTGCTTTTTATCACTTAATTAGAAGCACCAGAAATTAAATTGTGTCATCTGTTACTGAACAGACATTTAGAAGTTGATTTTAAATTGCAACGTATTGAAAATAAAAATAAAACTCTGTAAACACTTGCGTTTTTACAACACTATAAGTGTGTCCCATCAGGTAATGAAAAGTTGTACACACACTTGTGGTCTTCATGCTCACTTGAACACTTGGGCCAAATACAGGAAATACGTCATATAAGTAGTCAAGTGCAAAGACCGCAAGTGTGGGTATTTGGGCAAGGCATTCGAAGGGTACAACTGATGGACACTTCGGGCTCCCATGATCCTTTGCGCAGATTCTTTGCATGTGATGACGGCGCCTCCGTGTGGGCACGTGATGATGACGCAGAAGGGCACTTCAAGAAACAGTTGTTTGGTCCCCTAAACCCTTCAACCCTTCGAAGCTCTCACTCCGGAGTGAACTGCTTAGGGCATAGGGATGAGCCCTTCCGAATGGAACGCAGGGAGTACAGACTGCAAGAAAGCAGGTTTGACGAATCAGTGGTCTAGCGCTTGCAAGTTAGACTTTGTTTTGTGCATGTGCAAGTAGACCGCGGTTCGCGGATGATTTAATTTTCCTCTCAAGTCGAGGCTGGGGTGTGCTGTGTGATATGTTACAGTATATCTTCTGCGATGTAAGTGTTGCTGTAACGATGTGCGATCTGACATTATCGAGTATATCACGAAATCACACACAGAGAGTGCACGCACGTGATTTATCAGTAACTGTTATATTAAAACTCAAAATTGTAGATGGCAAAAATGCTTCTGTATGCTTTTTATATCATTCAATATAGTTAACTTAATCTGTATCACACAAAAGTGTCGTTTTTTTCTCCAGATATCAGCATTATAACAAATAATTTTATACAAGTTTAATAAAGTTAGCATTAAGTGACTTACATTTTATGTATTGCCTGTTTTTGCTCAATTTTGCCAACGAAAATAGTTCCAAAGATCACACCACTGTTTTGAGTCTGAGCAATGGGTGGTGTTTACTTATTGAATGAATCAGCTTTTTGAATGAATCTGTTGAATAAATGATTCAGTGATTCACTCATTAACACAGTCAAGTAGAGTCAAATGCTTTGTTCCAGAATGAATCAGTCGTTTGAATGAATCGGTTGAATCTCAATGAACTCACTCATTAACAGTCACTTGCTGTCACCTACTGGCGGTTTAAATTTCACATTTCGACTATTTTTTTCATGTTTTAAATAATTTCAAACATCAGTATTCAACGTTTTATGTTTAAAACAAAGCATTATTTATGCATCTGTAACTGCAGGTTAAATGCATCCATGTCCCCTCTGAGCTACATTAAACGGTGTAAATACATCTAAATGCTATTTCAGATGCAGATTCCAGAAATGTTTTATTGTGTTGGAATGAAAGACACGAAGTACCGGATGAAGTTATTCTTATGCTTACCCAAAGATACAAAATGGACGAAAGAGTTAAAACTGAACACAATCTTGCTACTTAAACTAGGGATGTGCAACGGTGATCGAGTACTCGAGTACTCGACCGTGACAGCGATGATCGATCATGTAAACGATGATCGAAATTTTTTATTTTTTTCCTGATTGGTTATAGCAGCACTTTGGGCGGCGCCCTGAGCTCTGATTGGTTAGCTTGCCACAGGATGCATCAAAAGACGTGAGAAGACAGAGAATCATGACCTCAAAGTCACGTAGTGATGTCTGGCTTCACTTTGAGAAGACCGATGAAAATACAGTTCAGTGCAAGCTGTGCAGCGCCAAGCTGTCACACAAATCTACAACAAGTACAATGCGCTATCATCTAACATTTGTACATAAAATGTCTGGCGATAACAGAGCGGCAACTCAGACGAGCATTGCATCATTTGCCGTAAGACCAAAATGCAAAGCAGGCAGAACCGAGAAGATGACACAGCTAATCGCTGAAATGGTGGTGAAAGATGCCCATTAGTTTCGTCGACGGAGAAGGATTTAAAGATTTCATGCATTACATTGAGCCCGAGTATGACATTCCGTCACACAAAACAGTCACGGCAACATAACAATCTTCAGATTTTTTCATTATATCCATTACGGCCATGCCCCGCCCCCGATTACTCGATTAATCGTTTTTTGAAACCTATCTATGATCGAAATGAGAAATTTCCCAAAATGCCCATCCCTAACTTAAACTGTGTATGAAAATTTGTATATATATTTGCTCCTTTTCCATTTTGCATTTACTTGTACTTTTATGTTCAATGCTTAAGTACGTTTAACATTAAAAAAATACTTTAGTACAATAAATATCACATACTTTAACACTTTTACTCAAGTAATTTTCTAAACGGTGACTTCAACTTCTGCCAAATTCATTTTCTAGTAAGATCTCTGTACTTTTACGCAAGTATGGCTTTCAGGTACCTTATCCACCACTGCCTGAGGACGAGTAAATTTAGTATTTTTGAGTGCACCTTTCCTTTAAAAAGAAATGTCAAACCATTGTGCCTTATCCTGGCTGTGGTGTAGCAAAAGTGGCTCTTCTTAACTTTAGGAAAGAGTGGCTTAAATTTATTTTCGCAAAAGGGTAATGATTCATGTCAGTCCACCCGTTTAAATATTTTAGAGCAAAACAGTCTGTTCAGTTCCTAGGGTTTAGAGCGAGTAAAATGGTCTATAAAACTAAATTGACTCTTTTTGGACAAAGAAACCTTGACTGACAAAAATGCAAATCCTTCTTTCATATACAGCAAGCAACAATAAATTACACAAAAGGAAACCTGTGAAATCTCCATGTGATTGTGAACGATTTATTATAAAAAGCACAGACAAATATACAAGGTTTAAAAAAAAGTCACTGAAACATTATTTTCTAAAGACATTGTGTTCACCACTTAGTTAAACATAAAAACGTAGTTACTTGATGACAAAGTTCAACAACAAAGACTTGCAATGTATCTATGAATGAAGGGAAAAAATGCACACATTTCTATGCAATCTAAATCAATGTAATGCAAACAGGCCAGAAAATGAGAAATTTTGTAAACCTCAATGGACCTAGCCAACACCTAAACACCACATCTTCATCCGTTACCCCATCAGACTGCGCTCACAGAGACAGTCCACGGTCATGACAAATCCTGACACTTCTCAATTGTAGATGAAGTTAAACCTGGTCAGGAGAATGAACATTTGCAATCATTAATTTAATTAGACCGCATTTATCAATACTAAATTATGTGAAGCCCATTTACTACAAGCTACAAGATTCAAAAGTAATATCTCACCTGCTCAGTAGCTGTGGAAGACTGGATATAATTGGGCCATAGCCAGGAGCATTATCATAAAGCTCAAACAAGGGGGCAGCCACCAGCTTGTAGTTCTTAGGCACAGCAAACAATGCTAAAAACACACAGCACACAAGTTAAGCTGTATAATCGCTTTTTACTCAGGGTACATCGAGTAAACAATGCATTTCGTCCTACCTTTCTCTTGCAGCTGTACTAGAAAAAGCTTCTTATGTTCTTTAGGCTTAGTGATGTGTGCTGGAATATAAGGGTACTGTGGAAGGAAATGAGATGTTCAATGTGATTTACCATTGAATCAAACTATAACAACTATATATTTCATTGAGTTTAGTTAATGTGCTTGAAAGTGAACAAAACTATATGTACTGTTAGTGATCCAGTGCAAATCTGTCTGAGGGAAAGGGAACAGAGTAGTTACCTGAGGTGGTTCAAAGTTTGGTCTCCACCAGTTCCCAATACAGTCATCAATGACCCAGTCCTGTTTCACTCCATCCTGACGCCCCAAAATCTTGACAACAAATTTAGGAATTATCCTTAGTGTATATCAAATCGTTCTTTGCTAGTTGTTACATAATATGGCATTTAATGGCATACAAGATGGTACAATACTCTGATAATAAGAGTTTTTGGCTGACTGGCATTTACACTCAGCTTTGAACAGAATAGTTAAAAAAATCTGCATATTCCAACAATTATTACTTTAAATACAGTCAAAAAAGCAATAATACCTCAGTCATTAGTCGTTTCAGCCCCTCCACTTCATCCTCTCCAGGGTTCAACTCACCCCCGGGACTGGAAAAAACAATGTATAAACCATCAGCCACTGACAAACGTTTTAGTAGACAGTAGACACTTATTCAATAAATGCATAATGAACAAACAAAACACCGCAAAGAAAAGAAAACAAGTCATAGCAAAATAATGAACAAAAATGTATAAAGAATGACGATAGGTTACTTTTAACAATAGAGTACAGTTTAACCACTGAAAAGCATCCATTTGAATCGATCACATCCATAACACACAAACTCCAGTGAATCACTGGCTGCTTACAGCTTGAAGAAGGTGGTTCCCAACTGCAGCAGCAGCACATGAGGGAGTCTGTGCTCGTGAACGATCAGAACCCCTTCCACCGTCCGCCGCATCCCAGTTTTCTCAAATTCTTCCCGCATCCGCTGAAAGCGTGCGGCTACCGAGCTGTCCTTCTCATAGAGTGGCTCCTTGGTGCCGAATGTGTAATTTGTTAAAGGGTATCTGCAAAAAACAAACATCATGATGTTCAGGAGTGATTAAAATGAAGATATGATAGAACTTTACTGATCCACTGGGGGATCAGCAAACAGGAAATTATGCAAAAAATACACTTCAAATACATGGATGACGCACTTAATTAAGTAAAAAAAATAAGTGTGGAATGTTGGACACTTCATGCAGCGACTGTAGCTGCTTAAAATAACCATATAAAAGTCAGATAGATGGCAGAGTACATAGTACATGTGAATAGTGAGTGTATAGAGCATAATTTGGGACAAATTGATGTGTCCGGCTATGTGTATATGGATAGAACAAAAGTTTCCTTGTAAAGTAAATCTCGAGCTTAACTAGCTCTGATTGGCTGGAAGTCTCCGTTTATCTAGTGTGAGTTAAAGCAATTTTGAGGAACATTGTGTCAAGTGTTCATTTAAAGTCAAAGATGCGGTGTACATCTTATTTGCTATCATACTCTTATATTTTAACCCCGTCTAAGGCAGAGAGTACAAATTTTAACGCCTCTGGTTCACAATTACAATTCTTCGCTGGATAGTTACACTGGAAAAAATATGTAAACAAACATTTAGCGCTACTGTAACTGTAAACGTTGTGTTTGTAATCGAAACTTTTCACGTTTAGGTAATTGCACCAAACGACTAAGTTACTGTTATTTTCGATTAATTGTGCAATAAAACAACAAGAAAACAATACCATCTGCTACCGATAAAATATAACAAAAACGATGTTTTGAATGACATTTTCTCTTTATTTTAACTACTTATATATGTACAAGTTAACGTTAATATAAACGTGCACACGCAAACAAACAGCATTAACCAGGAAGGAGCTACGATTGTTGGCCAGGTTGACGCGTGATGCTGCTTCAGCAGAAGCCATTGTACATCACTGAGATCGCTGAGCATTGCTTATGAAATAAATGTAATTGCACACGCAGTTTGCAGCGGTGAATGTTACTCACAGATTGATTGTTCTCTCCAGGGTGAGCGGTTTAGCCGGCTGGCTAATGTATTTATTGCCGAACTGATTTACTCCACGAGGCCAACCGGTAGATGATCGATTAGGAGGTACAACTGACATCGTATGACGGATAATATAGTGGCTTCTTAATCTTTGCACTAATCACTTTTTTTTAACTGTTGATTACAATATTACTGGGGTTGAATCATACAGCCTTGGCGCTCGATGAAAACGGGAATACGGCACTCTGCTGTGAAAGCACATCCGGGACATCCGGCTACGTCCTGTGTTACGACCGTGCGTTTCGCTTTACGGCTCATCTGCTTCCTGTCATACGTCAGCATTGAGGCTTTTTGAACATATAATATTAATAAATATTTTTTTCTTAGCTGTAATTATAATATTGATAAAATACCAGTGAAACTAGCTGAATTTCACCGTCAGGCCTTTTTATCATGGTCTTTGATCCACAATCACAATTTTTCACCTCATAGGTAGGCTACTATATGTAACAATAAGGATATATTTACACAAATCGCTTTATCTGAAACACTGGTTTGATAATGGCATCATATTGATGGATCAGTTATTTAATTTAAATGGTTTTCTTTTTACTTAAGGTGAGTTTTTGGCACATTATAAAATTCCTGTAACACCAGGGGACTATGCCAAAGTTTTTGGGGCTATTTCTCCTGAAGTTTGTGTTATTTAGACATTAGACAAGAATTAACATCCAACAGTGGTCTCTGCCTAATGTAATAAGTTCTTATATAGGTACCATCTGTTTTTCTCTTAAATCACACAACAGTTCTGTAAGAGCTTTATTTCAACGAGACATTGTGTCTTTGCCTTATGTTTATTCATATTGGAATCGCCTGACAGACAATATTGTTTGGAAAAAGGTTTGGTTAATACCTAATCAATATTTAATTACAAACAAGGTTAAGGAAATATCATTCAAAATTATACACAGGATTTACCCAGCCAAATATTATTTGGTAAAATTTAAATCTGATATTGATTTTAGTTGCTCCTTTTGTGTCAGTTGCCCTGAAACTGTGGTACATTTGTTTTGGCATTGCCCTTTTGTAAAACTATTTTGGCAAAATGTATGTGATTTTATTGTACAAAATATTGATAATCATTTTGTTTTGTTATGGAAATATGTATTATTTTGGTATATTGGAGAACAGCAAAGAAAAGCACAGTCACGTTTACGTGATAAATCAAATTTTTTTTACATGCAAAATTTCATATTCACAAATGTAAGTTCTCCTGCAAAAAACCTTGTTTTTTTTTCTTTTATGAAGGAAATGGAGCATTATATTGATACTATACGATTTTCTATGAAACAAAAAGCAATTAAAATGGTGAAAGTTTGTAAACGCTTTAATATTTTTATATAAATTTGTATTTGTATACAGCCCCTCTAGTGTGAAATTGTTTATTTCATGTATAATGTTTATTGATTATATCATATATTATATCATGTATAGTGTTTGTCATATACATGTAATTTGATCTTGTTAATAAATAAAAAAATCCTTAAAAAAATTATATATATATTAATAAATATCACAGCATATTGATGGATACGTAAAATGTGTTTATTATACTCATAAACACGTTATTATTTTATTAAGCCATATTTCTTTCTTTCTTTTTTGCTCCTCTAATTTATATTCATTACCAAGTAATCACGACAGTAAGAAAAGTAATAGGCCTATTTTAACTTTCTCAAAATAAATAATTTAGTTAAACCATTTATCTGTGGTATAGGAAATAGTAAAACCAACTGAATAAAATATATTTCTAAAACATTTATCACCCTTTTATAAAATATACTACAGGCCTATTCCACAATATGACAGAGATTTTTCAGTTTACTTATGAAACTGTTTAATGTAATCTCCTCATTCATTTATTTTAAGAAGTAAAATGAGATTTGCTGCATGCTTTTATAATAGGTTTATTGTTTTACTTTTTTTTGTGTACATATTTTTAACATGCTGGTGGGAGTCAGGAACAGACTACATCCAGAAATAATATGAAACATTGGTTTCCTTTCTTGCTTTCATGCTTTTGTGTCTTGCTGTGTTTGTCTACATTCATTTTTTTAGCAGTGCAATTAATTACGTTATGAAAGAAAAATAAGTATACAATGAAAGACTTGCAAGCTATGTGAAAAAGCACTCTTCTCAAAATAAACCATTTAATTGTTGCTCTTTGGTAGAGAATAGTGGAAAATTAAAAGTATAAACTAACACTAAATAAACACTATTTCTAATACAGTTATCACCTTTAGTGCAATTTATTTTATTCCATCATAGTTCCCATCTAAATCATCATTAGATGTTGCATCTTTGAGAAATCATACAAATCAATGCAGCAAAATTCCTTTTTAGGGAAATCATATAAATAAATGCAGCAGTATTGCACTTAAAATTCAACACATTTGTAAGAGATCTAGGGTTTTCTGCATTGCTACATGGCTGCCCTAATAACAAAGTTCATTATGGCCTCTAAAATGTTATTATATGTTATGTGTTCATTTGCCCTCATTACATATCTGAGGTTTGGCAGGAAAAATAAACACATTCTTCCCTAAAGCCTAAGGCACTGCCATTGTTAGATAGTCTCTAATTTTGCTGATGGGCTGAAATAGTCAGCTGAAAACGTCAAATTGGAATGCATTGTATAAATAATTAAAATATAGATGTTGCATTTTACATAAGTATAGTACTCATCTAAAAAGGCATTAAGAATCGTTGATTCTGTCTTTTGCATCTAACCAGTGTGGTCAATACATTTGTATCAAATGAGGACAAATATCACACAATATATCATCATCGTATCAAAGACAGCTGTAAATTCTGAAAGGCTAGTCGATCAACTAAAGGATAAATTGAAACAAAGATACTTGATGTCTTAATAATATATTTCAGATACTAAAATATGATTGAGAAAAAGACAGTAAATTGTGCAAAAATCAGTGCATCGTTTTCAGTTTTCTTTCTGCGAGGTCTGATTTTTAACCCCTAGACCTCTCACATTAATACATACATAATATGGTTAAACCAGTATTTTTTATATGTCTTCAAATATATATTGAAATACAAGTGTGTGTGCTTCATTATGATATCAATTTGAACTAAATATATTCATTTTTTTACAGTTACATTTTAGGAAAAATGAAATCACAGCTCCACAAAGCAGGAACTCCAACACACAGACTAAAGTGCATTCAAACTCGGGCCACAGTGATTTACGTCATATTGCATACAGTTCACCTGCATTGTAGTCGTTCGGGAGGGAAATGCTTACTATTGCCTTTTCCTTGGCTATAGAAGTTTCCTTAGGATGCATTATATCATGAGAAAAATATCTTCAGAATGATCTTGATGTAGCCTGAACTCTGTATAGGCTTTGAGAAAGGATTACTGTAAATATTCCATCTCCAAAGAGTTGAATTGCTCCCAGTGTTTTTGTAAAAATGCACCTTCCACCAATGGCCAACTAAGTGAATCTTCTTCACAAAGGGCTGGTCAGCATGTTTACTTGATACTGTTTATAACCTCCACATCTGCTAGTCAGATAAATTTGAGCCTTCTCTTCTGATGTTGGGATAATGTTCAATCCAAGTGGCATACTTTCAAATGGATCACTCTGAGAGAAACAATGAAGCAAGACAACCATAAGTGTGAGGTAGATTTTAATAGTATACAACTATTTAGACAAAAGATTTGGACATCAAGTTAGTGACTTGATCAGTACCTGCTCGCTCTCAGGAGGGATCTGTGCTGGCTGTCATATTAGGGCTTCACTGCTCCTCATAGCCAGAGGTGGGGTACGTCTCCCCCTCCTGACCCTGAAACATGTACTGGGACACAGCAGCAGGGATGAGGGCATTAGCCAGCTCCTGCACATGTACACAGAAATAGTTTAGAAAATAGTTCATACAATCATGCAAGCATTAATTTAAAAATGCTCTCGTGTTGTTTTTTGTTTTGTTTTTTTTGAGCCATCATGCATCTAAGCAACACTATGTAACCTTATGGCCCTCTAGCGGTTGAAGTATTAAACTACAAGTTACCTGCGGAGGAATATTGTTTTGGTAATTACGCGAGTTGTGCTTCGGCTCCGCTACTTTGCGTGGTTTTCAGTCCTGTAAGAAGGGTCGCTACTCTGAGGTCTCTAACAAAAGACGGATATCTAAAAATATGTTTTGAGCAGGTAAGCTTACATGGTGTTGTTGTTTTCACTTGTTGAAATCAACTGTTTTAAAATAACATTACAAAGGTTTAGCAATGCTGGCACTAGATACAACGATTGCCATTCATATCAGATGATGGTAAAAATGGATAAAATCGATAAAAAACTATAACTTGGCAAGGCAATTTAGGCAAATAGACCAAAATAATAACTGTTAGACATTCTTCCCAACAGTATTGTTTTACAAACCTAATCAATTCACAACAAATCTGTTGCTATGCAAACTATGTTGATTCTAGTTTTATTAAGAGCACTTTTGCTTTCCCTTATTGCTTGCAAACTCTTCCCGGTTTGAGGCTGGACTTCTTTCCTTTATTTACGTTTATGATGTAAGCACACACGGACGAGCGATGAAAGTATGCAGTTTCTCTGAAATTCTGAAATATAAATAATTACTATAGAGTAGACTTACCATAGTGATTTAGGGTAAGGCAAAACATATGGTTTGGAAGATGGGTTTACGATTACATTTTGTTCATTTTATTTGTTGAAAAATAAATTACATAGTGTAGCTTTAACTATCTCCGCTGATTATTTACAAATGACAGTAAACTCACTGATTTCAGGGTTGGGTCCATTTCTGTGAAGTTCCACTCGTTCAAAGACAGACTAAATGTGAAGGGCTAAGAGAAAGTGGAGAGATCATCTGTTAATCCATTATGTATTTTAAGGTCATTAAGATAAGGCTATCCTCCCATTATCGATTCAGACTTACATCCATTGCTGCAGCACTGGTTTCCATGCTCTGCTGGTGACTCCTCAGAAGCAGCTGTAAATCCTCCAGGCTCATGTCAACATTCTCCACACCATCAGGAATCTCTGATCTTACATATAAATTAAAATAGATTTTTCAGTGAACTGAAATGTAAGTGTTGATTTATTATCTGTGAAAAACAATAGTCTTAACTAAGTTGTAGATATTTGTGATATGATATATTATATGATATATTATACCTCTCCAGCATGGGTCTTTTGGCCCTTCTCTCTCCCAAATTAGATCCTCGGCCCTCTAGGACGGACTGTACCATGGCAACAGGGAGGACGGGGGGTTCAGTACACACCTCACAGGAGCCGAGTGGTACACCCTCTCCTCGTCCCTGCACCCCAGGGCTCACTGGCTCTTCCTTAATCAGCATCAGACACTTTTCTCTAAACAAATAGACCATGTCTTAAATAAATTCCATTGTATTTTTTCTCAAATTTTGTTTTCTGTCAACATTTTCCGAATGGTGGAAATTTTAGGGCCCTGTAAACATAGCAGCTAATATTAAAGGGACAGTTCACCACAAAATGAAAATTCTGTCATTGCTTTCTCTCCCGATTTAGAAGAACATTTGTCTCAATACATTAAAAGTCAATGGGGTCCAAAACAACATGATCATAATAATGTATTAGTGTTTTGGGGTGAACTATCCCTTTAACTCTGAAGCTCGGTCCACTCACCTAGATTCCTCTGCCTGCATTTGTAAAGCCATGGTGCTGGACTGTGAGATTTCAGTGACATCAGAGATTATTGGCCCTCCTGTCATCACATTGCTAGTGGAGCAGAATGCACTTTCTGTGGATGGCTGGTTGAACATGAGAGTCTGTGTCATATTTTATTGATTGAGAAAACCATCAAAACACCAGTTGTAAGAGGCATGATACAGTGAGTAAAATCTTCTGTGTCAGATCTTCAATCTTTAATATGAAAGCGAGTGAGTACAATCTTCTATGTCAGATCTTCAATCTTTAAGATAAAAGCTTTCTCACCGACTGGATATAGAACGATTCTTGCAAGGACTCCGCGGAGTGGCTTTGGCTGAATTTTGAGGCAGGAGGGGTGGAACAGGCATCATCCAGCATGAGAGGACTGCGGAGAAGGAAGAATATAATTGATATAAGCCACATCAATAAGTGTTGACTGTTGCTGTGAGTTACAATCCTGTTGCCCTCTAGTGGTAAAACTGAAAGAACGTTGGAGAAATGTTGTCATTAGTAAGTCAGTCAGTTAAAAGTTGCAGTGGAATACCAAGCACTGGCTCTTGAGGTCCCTCTTACCCAGTTTGTTCTCATGCGTCACACTTGCTGACGCTGCACCTTTTTAATAGAGTGTAGAGGGTCATGCGCTACAGTTCAGGTGTGTGCGTGTTTGTGGGTGTGTGTGTGAGGGCAAGAGCTCAGGAGGTCTGACTCAGCATTCAGGTCCATTCATCCCAGCAAGGGCAGTGAATTGTATCAGCTGACTGTTTCCAGCTGAGTTGGCCGTTCCCTCTACTGTGTTTGTGTTAGAGCATCAGGCTGTTGATTGCTATTTTCTGTTTGCGCTTTTTTGTTTGTTTGAGTGTGTATCGATACAAAATCAAGTGCTACAGATTAGTGTGTGTGCTACAGATGAATGGGTACACTCACAGCTTTCTCTTCATTCCCACAGTGCTGGGAGTGTTGGACTGCATCTGGCTAAACAGGAACTGAATCAGCTATTAATAGAACAGGGAAACAGAGCGTGATTCATCGTTACTCAGTCACAAAATCTGCACGACAGCATCTTCCCCAATAATGGCCACATCAATCCACTGTCTCTCACTGTGGTTATGAACTGTATTTTTTATTACCTTGTTCATGACTTTCTGCTGCTGTGTGTGATTCTGCCTCAGTGACACCACCTCCCTCCACAGAACGTCATTTTGCCTACAAGATAGATGGTTGGTTGGTTGGATGGATAGATGGATATACAAATGGATAAATGGGTGGACAGATGGATGGATAGATGGATGAATGGGTGGACAGAAAAATAGATTGATGGATGAAAGGATGGACATACAGATAGATAGATAGACAGACAGATAGATAGATAGATAGATAGATAGATCCCTAGAAAGTCCCTAGTCCCTAGAAATGAATATCTTCCTGTGGGCATGTGATCAAACTACTGGCCCCTATCTGTCAGGTGAGCTACTGAAAGTGCTATTGAGGCAGCTTAAACAAAGCACCAAACCACTGAGATTCACAATGCAGAGGAGCCAATGAATGAGAAGTAGGTGAAAAGTTAGAGGGATAATAGAGATGAAAGGGCAAGTTTTTGTTTGGCGTTCAGTTTTTTGTTACTAAAGGCAAGGATAGGCAGTAAATGATGCCATGGGATTAATTGGGTATGTGTGCATGTACGTATAGATGTGTGATAAACATCTTACTGTTTCATATCCTGCATCTGCATCTCCATGTTCTCTTGTTGGCTGTGTAGCACCTGCACCTCATACAACAACTTACTCAAGTCCTCCTGCCGCACTTTGGTCTCCTCACTCTTCACTATTGACACCTGAAAACACACAAACAGTCATCAGTAATGTGAGATAATAAACCTCCAGCCTGTGTGTGTATGTGTGTGTGTGTGTGTGTGTGTGTCAGGGCCTCCGACTCAGAGAATGAAGCAAGAGTGAGAATCACTTAAAGATGAGACGTCTCACCTTGCGCTTAATGTGTTCAAGCAGATGCTCGTGACCCTGGAGGAAATAGAGGTGCTGGAACTCGGTGTCATCTCGCTCGGGCTTCACCAGCCCACTCTGCTCAATATTCACCACCTTCCTGAAGCCATCTGAGAGAGAAGTGAGAGGTTAACGCAAACACTATTTCAGTCTGAAGAGTCTTTTATAGCTTTGGGATGTTTGTCAGCACAGAATGATACTTACACATGTTGAGCTGGCGTACAAAGCTTGCCATGTTATTGTGTTTGAAGTATTTGGGCAGAACCTCTTTGGCAAACCTGCCCTGGTCAAAAACATGGAAGCTGGTGCCCGTCTAGAGAAAACAAGCCAAAAAGGAAAACATGTCTTTGCTTTGATTATAATTTGTTTTTGTGAAAGGGAGTTTTTTAATGTTCTTCCTCAAGCTATTCCTGAAGGACATTGTTAAATGCAAAACTGAGACACATGATTGCAATCAGAGAGAAGCATCTGCTAAGCGCGGCCTGCCTGTTTTTCAACCTCATTGAGTTTTCACTGTCTTCCTGCTGTTATTTATTTATTGCTTTTTTTTTGCACACACATACAGAATGTTAAATGAAAACAACTCTAGTGTAAATGATTTTTGATACACAGGATTTTTAACAAATGAATTCATGTGCCCAGTATTGGTGATGCATTGCCAAATTTATGTTAAATTAATGGTAGAGATGAAAAAAATAAACCAGAAGATTATGAACATATACATTCTCAAGTCTCCACATATTGATGCAAATCATTTATTTTAGAGTTTGTCATTGATTTTTTTGGTTCCAAGTTCAGGCAATACACTTTTGTTTATTGGCCTTTGATTTCACCTCTCATTGATGTTCATTTCAAATTAATTTTGAACTGAGATATTTGCATATGGATGCAGTTTGAATAGCTTGTATAAACATAAACAGAGTGCTTCTTATTACTCATTCTCAGATAACATAAGCTAGAACATCATTAATAATAATATGCAGAGCCATAGAGACTAAACCAAAGAGTTCGAGAGCCATTTTAGAGTTCGTCTTTACAGTAAAACCACTTTAAATCTACATTTCCATTATGCAGAATAATATGCCAGATTCACACAAGGTGGTAATATAAAATGGTTAAATATATGTTGTAAATATATACTTTCTTCTATGAAAATTTCTCTCAAATGTATTTCCTAAAACAAATGATTAGGTAACAATTTACAATAAGGTTCAATTAACCGCATTTGCTAACATGAACTGACAATGAAAAATACCTCTAAAGCACTTATTAATCTGAATGGTAATTTACATTTACTAATACATTATTAAAATCAAAACTAATATTAATATATTAATATTATTTAATGGATAATGCTAACATGAAATAACAATCAGTAGATAACAATGAATACTTACATGAACTAACATTATAATATTGTAACAAATGTATTGCTAATTGTTAGTTAACTAATGGGACCTTATTATAATGTGTTACCATGATTAAAATATTGTAAAATGTTTGCTTAGTTAACACTATATCTGTTTTAGAAAAAAAAAAATTCTACCTCAAATAACAATATCAAAGAAACATTTTTCTACATTTCTCTCAGATTTTCTATGGACCCCCGAGTGCTCTCGTATAACTCCATTAGGGTTCCCTGAAAATTTGATAGAAAAAAAATATAAACAGAATTTATACATTTATAAAAATGTTTCTCTGATATTGTAATTTGGGGTAGGAAAAATATTTATTGTAAAACATATAGACTGTTAACTAAGTAAATATTTTCCAATAGTGTATTGTTTTGCCTGTAGAAATAGACAAATTATATCCAGTTATTTAATTTAGTTAACTACATATTTATACTTATGTTTTTTCTCCACATACAATATAAAAGGATCTGTATACATAACTACTTTCATTGCAGTCAGATCATTATACTTGGATGTTTTTGCCATTAAAATGTTTTTAAAATCCCTCTTAATAAACTTTTAAATATGTTGTTGCTCTGCCTAATTTAAGCCTACTATCTAATCAGAGGTCCACAACAGTGAGTTCCATGCTATTTCAAATCTACACAATTTATCATATATAAATCAGCCAAAGAATGCCATTAGCGTGAACTCACAGTACTCCAGCAAATCAGATGATTGGTCTCTGGGTCCTCCACAAGAGTCCAGAGTTTAGTGAGGAAAGCAGGTACATTGCTGGCGTATCCTCCATCTACACCTATAGAGCCTGGGTTCTCCTGCATGACTACACTTGGACTTGAACTCATGAGTCTTTAATCCAGTAGTATTTTAGACCATTTCCAAATCGATGCTCTCTTGGGATGCGCGTTGCTGATGCTGTTCCACTCTCCTCCTCCTCTCTCTGTCTGTGGCCTAGTCATAGGGCCATATCGCTCCCTGCCATTCCCACAGGTCAAAGTCAGCATAAAGCAATGGCCTGCAGCATCACCACTATACCCCCTCATTCAACAAAGCAGCCCACAGGAGAACAATACAGACCCACACAAAGCCTAGAATAATGCCACACTGTCACGCCAAGCAGCACAATGGCCAAACACAACCTGCACAGGAGAGTGTGCTGGGCAGATGAGTGGGGTTTTGTGTGGATTCTGAATTGTCATTCATGATGTTAAGGTTGTTGGTTAGAAAAAAAACACTGCTTGTCTTCAAGAGGTGGAATATTTACAAATATACAGCAGCCCATATCCACCTGAGCAGGTGATGGTTTTATTAGAGTCAGATTGAAATAGCATCTATCTATCTATCTATCTATCTATCTATCTATCTGTCTGTCTATCTATCTGTCTATCTGTCTGTCTGTCTGTCTATCTATCTATCTATCTATCAGTTGTGCTGCTTAATATTTTTTGTGTAAACCAGAAGACATTTTTAACCACGAAACATTTTTTTCCAGGATTCTTTGATGAATAGAAAGTTCACAGTAACAACATTTATTTGAAATAGAAAACGTCTTATTTGATTCAAGTAAGGGTAAAAAAGAAGCTTTACGTCAAAGTATTAGGAATGCATACACTTTTACACATAAAATAAAATAATAAAACAATATTACTGAATAAATAATTTATTTATTATAAAATTAAATATGAAAAAAAAATAAATAAAATGCTCTACCCTTATGTAACCAGCAGGGGGACCCACAATCCAGATCTGAAGTTTTTTTTTTTTTTTTAGCCTTCTACCTCTTATTACTCATGCAAACCAGTCCTCACTTGGACAGATAGCTATTTTTTTTCCATAAAACAGTACACGTAATATAGAATATTTTTCTGTAGTTGTTATGAACACTCTGTAAAATTCAGCATCTAGCAAAAAAGTAAATGAATAAAAGATACTGAATGCTTGACATTCAGGCATTTAATCAACAATATCATTAGATTTCTGTATGTTGACAATATTGAAATTCGTTCAGTATGTCAAACTGAACATTTATGTAAGACAAAGTGCAAAGCACAAAATGTCATTATGAAGCAAGCACCTACATGCAGAGGATATTAAATAGATTGCTAAGCATGTATGCAACCCACAAGGTAACAAGGTTACTGAAGAGATGGGCGCAAAACATGTTAGCACAATAATATCAAAATGAATATAGATGACTGTAAATGTAAACATAAATATCTCTTTGTGAAAAACAGCGGTTCTGAGCTAAAGCATAGAATCCATGGTCACATAGACATTATAAATGCTTCTGTAGTCATTCAGGTCAAAGCCTGATTGAATTAAACGTGATTAGTAGCTGACGCATGCAAAATTAAAATCAGCGTCAGCATCTGTATATGCTAAAGCAGGTCATAGGCCCTTATGACAACTGACATTCTAACTGTCAAACTGTAGAATTACGTCAATGCAAGTCACTCAATTTTGAGAAATCCCATGTACATCCTGTAGTTAATGAATAAATATTCAGCATTAACTTCAGCAGTCAACATAAGTAAATTGTTCCCATGTATCTTGTTCCAGCAGGCACATTTTAATTAGTGTTGCAGGAAGAAGGAAGTGTTTTATTTGCATGAGGATGCACAGCTCTATCAGGTTTGTTGACATGTGGGAGGTCGGTCTGTGTTTATGTGTGTACCCACGAGTGGGTAGTAACTAGGTAAGAGACCGTTTGCTAGCTGTTGAAGATGAGTAAGACATTTCTGTTGCCAGGCATTTACAAATTAATATTTTCTGAGTAGATTAATGAGACTCAATTATGGATCAGGCTGTATGTTGTTTTTCAGCAATTTACCTCTAAGTATAAGCTGTTTCCATCTCCTAAAGTAATCTTGCAGTTTCATGAGAGCATTTATTGTACTCCCCTCTTCTACTTCTGAGAAATTACAGTCAAGATATTGATGAGTTGCACGCCTCGCTGTAAAAGCAATGTTTGCAGTATAACATTAGCACTGTGCTTGAATTGCTTGCAAGACCATGCCGACGGACAAGCTGCACCAAAAATGACATCCTCATATCTGTAATTATATCTATATTTATTTTTAAACGTGTCGCTTGAATTTTCAGTCATAAAACATGTCAAATAGTCAAAAAAAAGTCACCCAACAGTCTAAAATAATGTTAAAAAGTTTGACTTTATGTTGTTTTGCACATCATTTGAATTTGTCAGATGCCTGAAAAGCCTTTCATCATTCATCATTCACAATTATTTATTTGTTCATTCAATTATTTTTTTCAGGGTTAAGCATTAGTGTGAAGTCCAACAAAAAGCTAAGCGGTGCAAAAAGATCATTAAAATGAGTAATTAATGATATAAATAATGAATAAATCCCTTGATTTATTTTGTTATTGGTATTATCATCGTAAAAAATAAAATACAATACAATTAAATTAAAATAATAAAATTAAAATAAATTTAAAAAGTGGAAAAGTACTTCCCAGGTCAAAGTTCAGAGTAGAAATAAACTGTTCAAATGTTCACATTAATTTTTCCCCCCAATTGGTTCATTTAAACATCGTTGCTGGCATAACCCATTACTGAAATTAATTATTATATAATAAATAACAAAGGTAAAGTTGCCATTTATAACTAATAATGTCTATTATTAATAAAGTCCAGTCATAATTTACAAATCACATAATGAAATGTTGACAAATATTGTCAGTTTGGACTCAAATCCCTAATCTGCCATAGTGCGTCATATAAGCATCGCAGGGCCAAGAAATCACTGGCCTGAGGGTTAAAGAGCACATGATGCATGATTTAAAACAGTCATCAGTGCCTACAGCTGCGAGGTCAGTCATGATCTTGTTATTAATAAATTTGAGAGCCAGGATTAAACTAATGAACTTGGTGGCCTCGGTCTGAACAGCCAAGGCGGCAGCGCAGCTGCGTTTATGCAGCATTATGCTAATGCTAATCTGGCCAAACACATAATCCATTAGTGATTAAACACTGTGAGGAATTTGTACCATGAACACATGTCCATTCATCCTTTCAGAATCTACTTGGACACAGAAATCAGAGAGAAAATGAATGGTTAATGATCAAACTTAAATAATTAATTAAATACTTGTGAGATGCAGTGGTGACCCTGAGGGTTTGTCAAAACAGATTATAGAAGACAGCGATGAGAATGTGTGTGTGTGTGAGAGAGAGGAAGTATCCAGTCACACACACGTCAGCTTGAGTGGTGTGTTAGAACTGTGACGTTTAACTTCAGGTGGAACTAAGGCCATAAGTGAGATCAAAGCCACACGCTCTGAAAAAAGAGAAACCAATTATATACATATCCTAGTCTAAAACTAGTCTGCAATTCAGTTTGTGAGGGATGAAAGGAGAAATACAGAATGATGTTGATTATTTTAGCATTATCTTGACGATTTCTTATGCTGTATATACACTACCTTTCAAAATTGTGTTTTGCTCAAGGTTTTATACCAAGGTTTAATATGAGCAAAAATATTATTAGTTAGTATTTAAAATAATAAAATAACTTTTTTTATGTGATGATGACAAAGCTGAATTTTCAGCAGCCATTACTCCAGTCTTTAGTGTCACACGATCCTTCAGAAATCATTTTAATATGCTGATTTTTATCAGTTGTGCTGCTTAATATTTTTGTGTAAAGCATGATACATTTTTTTCCAGGATTCTTTGATGAATAGAAAGTTCACAGGAACAGCATATGAAATATAAAACTTTGTAAATGTCTTTACTGTCACTTTTGATCAATTTAATACGCTCTTGCTAAATAATGGTGCTAATTTCCTTCGAAAACAAACTGCATGGAAGCATTATCACAGAATATACATATACACTACAGCTTGTCGCACTTTCTTTCAGACTTACTGTAAGATTTTCACCTGGCTGATGTGAAAATATTCAAAATAGCATAGCAGTGCATTTAGAAAAGGGTGGGAATATCAAGAAACCTGAGGGCTGTTTTGCCCAAAGCCAGCAGGCAAGCACATAGCAACCAATATGAACAGTGTTAATTTCCTTTGAAAACAAACTGCATGGAAGCATTATCACAGAATATACATATACACTACAGCTTGTCGCACTATTTTCTTTCAGACTTACTGTAAGATTTTCACCTGGCTGATGTGAAAATATTCAAAATAGCATAGCAGTGCATTTAGAAAAGGGTGGGAATATCAAGAAACCTGAGGGCTGTTTTGCCCAAAGCCAGCAGGCAAGCACATAGCAACCAATATGAACAACGTAGCAACCACTTAGAAATTCCTCAGCATCCACCCAGAAAACCGTAGCTTCCTAAAATGCTGAAAATCACTTATTTTCAAATGCATCATAGCAGCAACTTTTGCATTAGAGCACCACTCACATTTTCCTCTTTTTTTTGTCATAGCTTTATATCAGAAAATATTTAACAAAAATATATATAACCTAAAAATGCAAACAATATAATCTAAAAACCAAACAACCAATATAATCAATAAAAAAATCTAACAAACAGTATAATCTAAAATATAGATAATCTAAAAAAAAAAGGAGAGCTAAAACGAAGAATTGCCTGGTTTAGCAGATGGTGAAAATGGTTTGTTGCCCTCAAACAAACCAACAGATAGAGCAACTAGATGGTGTGTGAAGGTGATATTTTCAAGTGTTCAAAGCCCTTTCACATTCTCTGCACTCGCAGACTCAGAGCGCATGCGACCAGCTGTCACTTGATACTACCATGTGTGTTCAGAGCAGAAGTGTGCAGAAACATCTACGTGATTGTTGGCTTGACTTTCCACATGATTTCAGACACTTCCCTTGCCCTCACTTAGCCTGTTGCAAACAAAAACAATGCAGCCACTTTAGGTCAAAAGGACACTTACATGTTTGTAAGGTCAATAGTTCTTCAGTGTTTTCAACAAACCAACTGACTCTGACTTTTACATGATTTCTCAATAACAAATTAAATTCCAATAGTTCAACACAGTAGATGGAATCATGATTAATGTATAAAGATATAACTAAACCTGACCTTTGATTCTACTTAGTACATACTGTACAATACAATATAATAATTTAAACCTCTTCTTTTTGAAGAGTGTCAATAGAATTCCGTCTGAAAAGTCAATGCATGAAATTAGATCCATTTACTGTAATAGGCATCCATAATGTGCCTTTATCAAGTCTGCTCTGTTTGATTAACCAGGGTAAGGCAGGTTATTGTGCATTGTGATTATTGATTAATCTGGCTGATGATAAAGCTGAAGTGTGTCATTTCATGTGTGCACAACTATAGCTTAAAAAAATGAAATTGCAAAAATAATTATAGTTTTCAAACAGGTTACCCAAACATTCCCCCATTTGCCATTGTGAACACAAAATTTTTGTTAATTTCATAGTTCAACTTTTCACTCAAGTTGTTGTTTTATTCTATATATAGTACTGTATCTATATCAATAATTATCTATCTATCTATCTATCTATCTTGTAGGCAAAATGACGTTCTGTGGAGGGAGGTGGTGTCACTGAGGCAGAATCACACACAGCAGCAGAAAGTCATAAACAAGGTACAGCTACATTCATCCATCCATGTAATTAGATCACTGTACTAATTACGCTTTCTAAAAAATATTGTATTACTTACTACTAATTACTTTCGAAATACCATATCAACCTCAAGCAGTTGCAAGGACAGACATGAATCTGCTTTTTTAATTATTTCAAGTAAATAATATAAAATAAATTTCAATGTTACATTAAAATGGTCATTTCTGATGTTAAGTCCACTGTTCTTTTATATAGAATTGATCTATAATCTATACCGTATTTAATGCAATTACATCAGAAGTAACTGTAATAAAAATTACAGAAAAAATAAAAGAGACAGACGGACGGACGGACGGACGGATAGATAGATAGATAGATAGATAGATAGATTTTTATTTCAAATGCAGAAACATGCAAAAAAAAATCTCACTGTCTGAAACTTTTGGACCCCCACTATGTCTTGTTTTTGTTCTGTTAGCTTTGTCCACTTTCTCGTTCTCCCTTTCTTTATTTTCCTGTTAGCTGCTTCTCGCTGAAGTGGTTCTGGCTGTGTTTTATTCAGGAGGTAGCTGAATGACAGAGGCACTTTTGTGGCCTAAGCCTCCCGTCTGCTCTATATCTCCCCTCCTCTCTGGGCCTGTGCATTATTCAGAGACAGTGCTGTTAAGAGCCAAGTCCCCAAAGTAACATTCCTTCTGCTCCACAGAGCTGCTCCTGAACCTCAGCCGCCTCTCAGACACCCCAAAGCACAGTGGCTGAAACAACTAATCTCTTTTTTATTCATGGCGATGCAAAAGTTGGAGCAACACATAATATCAGCGCCGGACTGCTGAACACGAGAGTTCTGGACATGTTTTGAATGTGCTGTCGCTGGAGATTTTAACACAGACGTTTTCCTTCTCTGGTGTAAACAAAAAACAACAGTACTTTTGCTTATTTTTTAAAGTAAATGTTCAGCTTAAAGTTTTAAAATTTTGTCTCAGACATCTTGACTTGTCAGTAGTCTTTACCAGTCAGTGCATTTAAAGGAATAGTTCATCAAAAAATTAAAATTTGCTAAAAACTTACCCTCAGGCCATTCAAGATGTAGATATTGTCAGACTTTTGTACCTGTTTTGCCCCGTAGTCCTTCCTGTGTTTCCTTATTTGGTCAAGTTCCTGTCCTCGTTTAGTTTGATTATGTTCCATTGATGTCACCTGTGTTCCCCAATTATCCCTTGTATTTAAGTTCTAACCTGAGCCATTCTCCCTTGTCCGATATTGAAAGCTCGTATTGTGCTACATGTGTTCCTGGCAGCCCTGTGTATCCCGTGTTGGAAAGATTAAAGACTGTGTTTACTGTGAAATCTCCTGCGTCTCCTCGTTCCTCGTTCTGTTCCATTGATGTCACCTGTGTTCCCCAATTATCCCTTGTATTTAAATTCTAGTCTGTGCCATTCTTCCTTGTCCGATATTGAATGTTCGTCTTGTGCTACATGTGTTCCTGGCAGCCCTGTGTATCCTTTGTTGGAAGGATTAAAGACTGTTTACTGTGAAGTCTCCTCGTTCCTCGTTCCACGCTCCTCGTTGTTGTACAAGCGTGACAGATATACATTTGTTTCTTCATCAAAACAGATTTAGAGAAATTTAGCATTATATCACTTGCTTACCAATGGAAATATATCACTTGCTTACCAATGGAAACTGCCCTCTGCAGTGAATGGGTGCCGTCAAAGTGAGAGTCCAAACAGCTGATAAAAACATCACAATGATCCACCACGAGAAATCCACATGATTCCAGTCGATCAGTTAATGCCTTGTGAAGTAAAAAGCTACGTGTTTGTAGGAAACAAACCCATCCTTAAGGCCATCATTTAAACTATCACTTCTGACAAAAATTCAAGTCAAAATGACTCGATAATAGTGCTTCCTCCTGTGAAAAAGTCCATCCCCTGTTGTCCTTCTCGAGCGGAATTCGCCGCATTTGTGGAGTAGACACTGGCGAGACACAGATCTGTCCCGAGGGGGATCTCGCCGGTGCCACTACAGACCCAGAGCCCAGCCAACCATCTCCCCGCTGTGAGCTAAAGCCAGAGCCCACCGATGATGGAGAGCCCATTCCCATCGCAATCTACGAGCCAGCGCAATGCCGAGCGACTGAGTGGAGGATTGCCCCGGAAGGAGAGCCCAATCCATCAGATGCAATGCCCGCCACGAGGGAGAAAGCCGCAGACGGTGTGAGTGCGGAGAGGAGCTCCGCCCCCTGCACTAAGGATGCATTGGTGAGCAAGTGATGTAATGCTACATTTTTCCAAATCTGTTTTGATGAAGAAACAAACTTGTCTACATCTTTGAATGCCTGAGGGTGAGTAAATAACTATTCCTTCAATATATTAAGACGTTGATGGCTAATACAAAACAAATCGTCAAACAATAGACACATACTTAGATTATGAATGATGGACAAGTAAGCAGCAAGCAAATACAAGCAAGAAAAATACATATTTTAACAAACTGCACAAAACACTTTTTTTGAATGGATATCAACATCAGTGAAAGAAAAGTGTTACTTTTTTCATGTGCCAATTTCGGCAAAACATGCATACAACCCATTTTTCTGTTGGCCTAGAGGAAGTGGTAAAATCCATGACATACATTTGAAAAGTGACAAATTGCAGTATGTAACTTTTGAGGAAATATCCAACTTTAAAAAAAATATATCTATGACATTCATTGCCATCATTTTCTAAAGAAGTAGAATGATGAATTGTGTGTGAACAGACCTGAAGTCGCTACAGTTTTTCAGCAGCTTATTCTTTTAAAGGAACATTCTTAGTTCAATAGAAGCTGACCAAATTTGTGGCATAATGTTGATGATTACCATAAAACATTTCCCTTATCCCTCCTGTTTTTGAAACTATACTGTACATACATGATTTTTACTACACTCTCAAAAAAGACGGTCATTTTGGTGGTAGGTAAAACTAAAAGGTACATATTAGTATTTTAAAAGTATGTATTAGTACCTAAATTGTACATTTAAGTATGCCTACCTTTTAAAATGGTACCACCCCAGTGACAATGTAATACTTTTTTTTTCTGTGAGTATATAAAACTGCAGTAATTGATTTTAAAGTGTATAAACCTCGTGAGCTTTATGTATCTAAATTAATTTGTGCTCTTTTTTGTTCCTCTCTTTATGTGGAGTTTCCCAGCAAGGACCAAATGGTGATAACATGTTCCTGGAAGAACAGAGGATTGAGATAAGCTATTCCATGTAAGCCAGATCACTAAAGCAACCAGAGCCCATGACAACACTTGTTTCAACACATTGTCTCCTGACATGTTCAGATCAAAGCTCTTTGGTGGACCTTCTCTAATGAGTCACTGTCAGTTTTTTGTCCATAAAGCTGCCTTGAATTTCAAAACACCGGAGAAGACATTGCGTTCATTCTGAAAACACTTGTTCCATGAATACTCTGCTATTTGTTTAAAGCTTTGGGGGAGCTTTTTTAGCAGATACTGGCTATTACTGTGGCATCTTCATGTGTGGTGGTTTTGAACATGTAGAATCAGCTAAAATGAAAAAGTGTGTTTTTGATCAAAATAAACGAATGGGTTAAAAGGGAACTGCAGTACTTTGTATAGAACCATGTCTTTGAAGTGTGTAAGCGGCAGGGACACATGTGCCATCATGTGTTCATGCTGAATGTCCCATTATATGCTTCCAGTGTTCATGGGATTAGAGTGGATTTAGTGTAAATGCCTGTAATTTCTAAAAGGCTTGAGAGATAAAAGAAAGAAGACAGAAAGGGTTTCATTTTTTTTATCACCACTATAACAGAAAACAAGCATGATGTATGTAAAATGCATGTATGTCATCATGATATATGCTCATATACTATCAGACTAAAACTGTACATTCTGTAAAATATATAAATACAAAATGTAAATTCTCCTCAGTTATAGATCACTACGATTCCTCCTATAAGGTAACTTTGTGAATTCATAGCTCCAGACTTACATAACATTATTCATGAGAATTGTCATTTTGTCTGAATAAATAAATGGAAGCTTCCAGATTTTACAGGTTTAAGCGCCACATAATAACTGCTGGAAGCACTTTTTTTTAATATAGTTTTCTCTTGAAATATTGAAGAGCTTTGATAAAGGCTCTGATATAAAATAAGTAATTTAGTGTGCAATATATGATGCACACTTACCGTACAACAGTTTAATTTGATTTTTAGCAGTACGCTTTGTAGGACATTTGTTGATCGATACACTTAAATCTAATTTCATTCCAGAGTTGAATATAACTAAATTGTGAGTGAAAGGAACATAAAGGGATAGTTCACCCAAAAATTAAAACACTTTGTCATTTACTCAAGGTTCTGTCATGCCAAACCTGCATGCTGCTATAGTTTTTTGTCTGTAGAGAACAAAAGGAGAATTTTTCTCTGTAACTCTGTATTAAAGGAATAGTTCACCCAAAAGAAAAATTTTCTGAAAATGTACTAACCTTAGACAAACATGTAGATGAGTTTGTTTCTTCATAAAAACAGATTTGGAGAAATTAAGCATTACATCACTTGCTCACCAATGGATCCTTTGCAGTGAATGGGTGCCGTCAGAATGAGAGTACAAACGGCTGATAAAAACATCACAATAATCCACACGACTCCAGAACATAGCCCAAGTTAACAACTTGTGAAGTGAAGAGCTGCATGTTTGTAATAAACAAATTCTTTAAACCTTTAAACTGTTGTTCCTCTAATATTGATTTCTCCAGTGCTGATGGCACCCATTCACTGTAGAAGATCCATTGGTGAGCAAGTGATGTAATAGTACATTTCTCTGCTAAATATGTTCCAATGAGGAAACAAAATCATCCACATCTTGCTGAGGTTATATTTTTAGCAAATTGTCATTTTTGGCTGAACTATTCCTGTTTTTTAAATTATTATTGTATTTTAGTTTGTGGATAAGTGTGTATTTCTGAACTACTTTTATTTCATGCATGGAAATGGAAGATAGAAAATGCTTTCTTTATGAAATAATTGCTTGCCAAACAGTGTACTGACCTTGACACAACAATTCAGCTCTAAAAATGAAGAAAAAAATAGACATTTCTCATATAATAAGCTATTCTTTTACATATGGGCCATGACTGAACAGCTAATGAAAATTGGTTGATTTGTGTGTGAGCCCAAGTTTCCCTTTGCCTGTGCCTCTCAATATATTTCATACAAGGACAAACACTGCAATGTTGCTCTGGGGGTTTTCATAACAACCATGTTATTCAATATGTCTTGCTTTTGCTTAGCGTCTTCCTTCATGATGAAATGAAATAATGTGTAGTGACAAAGTCTCTAAATGTGGCCTGTCAGTTGCTGTGTGACTGGGGCTGCATAGTGTGAATTAAATCCTTTCACATCTTTCAATGTGTTGCTGTTCACCTTTTTTGGTCTCTCTCTCTATTTCATGTGCTCTCTTTGTGCCATAAGCTTCTTTTCCACCCCCACCCTTCTGGACGAGACACCCTGTGCATGAGAGAAATGGTGTGTTTCTGATGTAAAAGCTGAATTAGTTGGTAAAGTCCTAACCATTGTAACGTTTAAACTGAAATCTGGCTTTGCTACACAGGAAGATGGAATGTCCTCTGACAGAATTACACTGAAGGAACTGAAAATCAACAGTTAGAGGAAGCCACGAATCTGTGTGCTTTAAGTAACTGATTTCTTGGGTTTCTTAGTCTGATGTGTGAAACAAATGCCATGTGTATATTTACTACAAGTTTCACTTCAAGTCAGACAGGCAGAGTTTGATCTGCATTAACTTTCAGTTCCTCTTCAGGAACTCGAGCTGCGTCGGAGTGTTGACCGGCTCTGAACCTCGTGTGTAATCAGACCAATAGATGGGCGAGA